CACGGCTGCTTTCTTAGTAGGGAAAGAGAGGGAAAGATGCCCTACCTTAAAGGAACAGTGCATCCCAAACTGAAGATTTTGTCATATTTTACTCACTCTCATGTTGGAAGTTATTGGGGTTCAAAGCTGCTGTTTTGGATCCCATTGACTTTCAATGAATGAACAAAAACAGTTCAGATGTTGTTTATATATATATATATATATATAAAAAAAAAAAAAATATATATATATATATATATATATATATAATAATATTTGTGTGTGTGTGTGTGGGTGTTCTGCAGAAGAAAGTATAGGTTTGATGCAGGTTTGGTTTTTGGGTGAACTGTTCCTTTAAGAAGGGGTCTATCTGTAACTTGTTTTTATAATTAAAAAACAAGTTTGTTACTGTACAAATCTAAATCAATAACTGTCCACATGTATTCTGTTAACAAATATACTTATTAAAACTTTTAATATCCATAATAGTGAACTGTGGAAATAAATTCACAGTTCACTATTATCCAACGAGAAACACAATTGCATTTCAGCCCAAAAATTTTCAGATGGCATAAACCTCACAAATGTTGATGTTCAGATAAAAAGTCAATATTGATCTTTCAGTTTATGGTCAAGCATGTAAACTTTCCCCATCTTACTCTACTGTTGAACTGCCATGATTTATTAATTTATTTACTTACTCTATTTATATAGTCTCTATTATTTATATTTCTCTATGATTTATATAACTGTATCATTTATATTTCATATTTATATCATATTTACATATAAAGTCATTATTTATTCAGTAACTCATTGTTTATTTATTTGCTCATTCTACCTATCTTTCTTCAGGAAAAGGATTTGTACGGATTGTGTGTATTGATACATCGCCCTCATCTGGCCAAATTATGAAGTTCTCCTCCACATCCCACCACCACCACCGCCGCCAGCCAACTTTATTTATTAGCTTCTCCTAGCATCAGTACGCCAGCCTGTTATCGATCTCTTCACTTTCACACCTAATCCAATTGTGAGCATATGTGTATTTTATTATGGTTTGATTGTAATAGGGTCAAGATGAATCCATCTGCAGTTTCTTGTTGTTTTCGCCCTGCCGTCGTTGCTCATAAACTCCCGTGCCCACGATGCAGATACGACCGCAAACAACTATAATGCAAGTTGTAGCAGACTCGACTGGCCCCTCCGCTATTTTCCTGGCAGCTGCGAATGCGTCTCAAACCCGCAGCTTTTTTCTCCTGCCCCGTGCCTCCCTCTACATCTCGCTCGGTGTCTTTCCTAGCATCAGTAGCCTACACTGGCCTGTTATCGATCTCTTCACTTTCACACCTAATCCAATTGTGAGCATGTTGTATATTTTATTATGGTTTGATTCTAATAGGGTCAAGATGAACCCATCTGCGGTTTCTTGTTGTTTTCGCCCTGCCGTCGTTGCTCATAAACTCCCGTGCCCACGATGCAGATACGACCGCAAACAACTATAATGCAAGTTGTAGCAGACTCGACTGGCCCCTCCGCTATTTTCCTGGCAGCTGCGAATGCGTCTCAAACCCGCAGCTTTTTTCTCCTGCCCCGTGCCTCCCTCTACATCTCGCTCGGTGTCTTTCCACCCCCGTCAGCGAGTTGGCGGGTTTCTCGAATGCCGTATTGGCGTCACGGCACGATCCACTCCCTCCGTGCCATTTGTTTTCCCCTTCGCGTCCCTTGATTTCGGTCATTTACATGAAGAGGAGACAGCTGGCATGCATCAGAGTGCATTTAACGGATGCTCAATTAGCCGTGTTTTGTTTGACTTCTCAATCAAACACATTTAGCTACTTTTGTTGGGAATTTGGCCACACTTGTTTGAGTTCTGTTTGGTTTGAATTAGGTTTTTAATTGCCTCCCATGCATTCACAGACATTCTCTTGATGTATAGTGCTGTTGGAACAATTAGGAGCCATTAAAACAATGGCGGCCAAGTCTGCGGATGCCCGAGTGCTGAGTAATAACAGTCATTAGAATAATAATTGGGATAGCAATGGCGGTGCCGATTGTCATGATATGAATCACAATATTGATGCGGAGGACAGAAATAATAATGGCTACAATTACAATGGCAATTGTACAAAATTTCAGGACGTCCTCAGTCACCGTCTCTCATTTTCTTCTCTGTTCTCGCCTCTTGATTTCAGCTCAATACCTCACCTGTCAATGTTTTATTAACCCGCTCTCCCTCCACGCTGAATTTAAGACAAGGGTACTCTGAGATGGATAGAGCCTGACAGGATTAAATTTAAATGAAGCCAGACGAGCGGGCCAACGAGTGACGGAGGATGCCGACTAGCGCCTTTATAGACTCTCCTTTATTTCCCTCCTGAACTTTCTCTTTTGTCGCTTTTCAGCAAAAACGCCATAATAATCCTAATTGTTCCTCTAAGAGATGTTTTGCCTCTGGTCTATAACCAAGATGTCCTCATGAAATGTTTGGAGGACATCTTCACTTCAACTTTTAACTTTGAAATGAAAAAAGTTACTCTAGTTTTGTTATTTGTACACTACCAATGGTGCAATAATGGATAAACATGCATTGCAGAAGAAAGTCATGAAAAGTCATAAGTTTTCACCAAAATGTCATCTCAAATGATGTCAAATGAATCTTCTCATACTAATAAATATTGAAATGATTTACAGTTATTTCACTTTTTATCTTATGTTATGAATAATGTCCAAACAAGTTCAATTAATATTTTTAATATGGATTTTCATATTCCGGTTTCGGCTTAAGGTAAACAATAAAATCTATACATAGAAGGCTTTTGAAAAGTAGGAAAAATAAAATAAATGCACAAATAAATTATGAATTCATGGGAAAAAGTTTCCAAGACAGTTTTAATATGACCGTCATATAAAAAAAAAGTGGTAAACAAGTGCAAAACTTTACTAGTGGCAAACAGTTGTAATTTGTGTAAAAATAATCTCACAATAAAAATTTGAAATGATGTATGATTATTTCACTTTTTTTAGCTTATGATAATTAAAATGATATTAGAATAAATGTAAATAATTAGATGAATTTTCATAGTCTATAAAATAATAAACATCTATACTGTACATAAAAGGCTTTTGAAAAGTAGCAAAATAAAATAAATGCATAAATAAATGAGAAATTAGTGAGGAAAAGTTTCCAAGACAGTTCAGATCTGGAAAAAATCTAATAAATACAGAAACAAATTAGAAATTTGTGAGAAAGTTTTCAAGGCAGTTTTAATGTGATCTTTATATAACAAGAAGACGAAAAAAATATAATTTAGCAGTCTTTTAAAGGCACAATATGTAATTTTCGCCGCTAGAGGGCGCATATTCAAAATAAACAAATAGACAAAGGTGTAGTTAGATGACGCCGTGACTGAGTGTGGAATCATGGGAGTTATCATCTTCATCCCCACAACCGATGCAATCCGACGGGACTCGGGCAGAAATCATGTTCATGGATGAGCTAATGATTTATTAATGTAGTAGAATGAAGCAGGGTGAGGCTGAAAGCTGTCGAAGCGAAACGAGGCCGCTGAACGAGCGTGACACACAGCCCGAAAGCAGCGGAGCTTTTATTATGCCATACTTTAGCGCTTCCGCTTCTTCTGGTCGTGCGTATTGTGGGGAAAAAAATCAGCACTGTTTTATCATACTAGATACGTTTGAACGTTCTGTTATAATGCTACTCTGTGCGGTCGTCACCTGTCTAATAAAATGCACAACATATTAAAGCGTCTTTGGTGTTTCCATGTTTTCTACAAAACAAAAGAAATCGAGGGTGTATGACGTCATTGGCAGGCGACAGAATGACACTATAAACACGGTCCGTGTCACTATTAAAATTGCTTATTTCTCTGGATTTAAACATTCTTCGAAACATTTGGGATAATGTAAGTACACAAGTCAGCAAAATATATAACACTGTTCTAGTGGTTTTTGGATATTTTAATAAAAAAAAATTCTTACATATTGTGCCTTTAACTATAACAAAAACTTATAATAAAAATCAGCCCTTGGACCATAAGTGCCTATAGATGACGAAACACTCTTCACATTCTCCACATTATTATTATGTTATAGTATGAAATATCTCACCTACACAATACTCCATCAACTGTTTCAAGCTATATACAGACTTCCTGTCATACAGCATGTCTGTAACATGTCAGTCTGAGCATGTCAGATATCTTGTCCTAGCTAGGTGAGTGGAGCAATGGAGGAGACAGGTCTCAGCGAATCAGCAAATGTGACAGTTTTACCCTAGTGATCTCCTGTGATGTCATCAGATCGAGTCTGTTCTGCTGAAGAACGTGGTGCCTTGGTGTCAGGGTTGCGAATCAGTACAGTCCACCAGAGACAGGCTCTCCACGAAGACCACGGATAATGATGTGCTGAAGGTTCCAGCAGCATGCTTGCACGGGCCAGCGGTGACGACCTCGTGTTCAGCTCCTCTATATCCTGCTAAAATAAACATCAACAATACATGAGCGTCACCCAGAACATGCAGTAGATGTTACCCTCAACTAGATTTAGCAGTGAAAGTGCCATTAGATGTCCTGTGTTCCCTGCGTATGACTGATCCAAGTTCATTCCCAAAAAAGAGCCGTCATTACCGGCGCTTTCATGAGGTGGATGTCAGATCGAGCAGATGTGTGTCAGCCCACAGTAATGGATAAAGATAACGATGCTATTGGTCTTACCAGCACTTAATTAGGACCCTTTCTTTCTAGTCTCTGTCTATCTGTCAGTCTCTCATTATTTTCCTTTTTTCACTTGCTCTGTCTCTCCTCTTCTGCATAGTTCACACTTCTAAGCACAAAGGTAGTTACGTGAGTGTGGTGTTAATTGGTCACGGAGGTATTTCTATCTTCAAAATTGCTCAGTGTGCCATCTTGTCTCCTTCTGTCCATCAAAATATCTTTATAAATGATTCCTTTCAGTAAATGAGAGTTGTGCGTTAACTCTGTCACCCCTCTGTGTTTCAGCGTGGGGGCAGGCTGTGCAGGCTGAGAACGTGACCGTGCTGGAGGGGGGGACGGCACAGATCTCCTGTCGTCTCCAGAACTACGATGGCTCGATCGTGGTCATCCAGAACCCACGCAGACAAACGCTATTCTTCAATGGAACACGAGGTGACCGCTTCACTGGCAGTCGTTAGCGGATCTTTTTAAAAGCCCATAAAAAGAACATCATTTTAATTGTTCAAAGAAAGTTGTTTTGGCATAATTATTTTAATATGCTTGCTCACATTACGTTAGGTTATCTAGAAGACTTACACAGGAACAATTAGTGGGATATTTTATTTTATTTTAGCAACATACTGTAAACATTTTGGGGAAGTCGTGGCCTAATGGTTAGAGAATCGGACTCGTAACCCAAAGGTTGTGGGTTCGAGTCTCGTACCGGCAGGGATTGTAGGTGGGGGGAGTGAATGTACAGCTCTCTCTTCCTCCTTCAATACCACGACTGAGGTGCCCTTGAGCAACCCCCAACTGCTCCCCGGGCGCCGCAGCATAAATGGCTGCCCACTGCTCCGGGTGTGTGTTCACGGTTTGTGTGTTCACTGCTGTGTGTATGCACTTTGGATGGGTAAATGCAGAGCACTAATTCCAAGTATGGGTCACCATACCTGGCCACATGTCACATGTCATGTCACAACAGTAAAACTAAAATCTTTAACTTTAACTTTAACAACTTTATTTCTCATAATTGCGACTATACGTTTCATACAACTTAATTCTCAGAATTGCAACTTTGTATCTCACAATCTTGTGATTGTGAGTTTGTCACTTTATACATCACAATTTTGACTACTTGCAATTGTGTTATATTTCACAGTAAGATTTTCTTAAATTAAACTTAGTATAAAATTGTATTGCATTATACAATGCTTAACGGATCATTAATCTTATAGTTAGACTGTTAAAAAAAAAATCTGTAGATTTTACAAAGTAATTTTGGCAGCTGTGGTTGCCAGAATAATTTGTTAAAAAAATTAAAAAAAAACTTTAAACAAATTCACAGAACAAACTTTAAAATTTCCAGTATAAAACTGTAATTTACAAACAAGAAAATTTGAATGTAAACCAGTAAATTCTACAATGCACACTGCTACTAAAATCTGTTTTATACTTTCAAATGTGGAGTGTGACGCAAGAATTCTGTAAATACCAGTTTACAGTTTTTGACTGTAAATTATACATTGATTTGTTCTTTTTACTTCTAAAAACGTTTTACTTCTAAATTTCTGTACAATTAATAGCATTTTACTGTAAAAAACATTCAATGTCTGGTTAGATCTTTTACACTTTTCCCTGTATATAGTAAAGGAACTCACTGTTAACATATTAACTTCTTTTTTTAAATTTAAATTAAAAAAATTTTTTATAAATTTTTACAATATTTTACTGTTAAAATTACATTCTTTTTTTGCATTTTGATTTGACTTTATATGCTCCAATATGACTACTTCTCATAAGTGACTTCATTTTGCTATATAGACTTTAATTCTTATAATTAAAATGGTAACTTACTGAGAGTTGCAAATTTATATCTCACAATATGGCTTTATATCTTGTAATTGCAACTTTGTTTCTTGTATGTCTTGTGAAATGGACTTTTCTGTAATTGATTCCCCTTTTATTGCCACTTGATCTTAATTAACTTGCCTGGTTAAATAAAGGTTAAATATTTCACAAAGTGACTTTTTCTCAAAATGCAATGCATGTCACAGTGTTGACATTTTTTTTTTTTAGAAACTATAACTGTCTCACAATGTGACATTATATATCTCTCATAATGTGACATAATTTTCTCATTTTAAACTTAATATCATAAGTAATAAAACAACAAACCTTTATACACTCTCAGAAAGAAAAGTTTCAAAAGCTATCACTGGGACGGTATACCTTAGTACCTTATTTACTCCTGAAGTGTGCATTTTAGTACCTTTTAAGGTGCATATTAATACCTGAAGTGTACATATTAGTACCTTTTGAAAAGCTACCGCCCCAGTGACAGCCTTTTTTCTGAGAGTGTAGCGTCTGCAAAGCATCATTTAAAGTTTGACAATGATCTTATTAAAGTTCTTCCCCATTTTTATTACATTGCAGCTGCTGGGTTTTTTAAGCAAAAGTACTATAATTAATTTATTGAGCACTCCCTCTTTGACATTGAGTTCATCAGACACATTCCATATCCATTAATGGTTCTCTTGTAGCACTGGTAAGTGGTAAATATGTTAAACACAACCTCTGTGTCCGTGCTAGCAGTGGAGCAGTCTCTTTTCATGCTGGTTAGCTTTTATCATCTTTGGAATATATTTAAACTGGCGCCATCAGTCTTTCTGAAATCCTTTTTAACTGATTACACCTTATTTCAATTTCTTTTTAAAGATCCTTTTATGTAATAACCTTTGTTTTTTCCATCGCAGCCATCACTATCGCTTACATTTGAAATCCCTTTAAGTGATGACTCTCTGTCACCCTCGTTTTACATGATATGCAATGTGTTTTCATCCTTGCCTTTGTAACCCTTGCCTCAGCAAAGGACTCAGAAAGCATACGTAATTCAGTGAAAAAAGGGAATGGAGAAAAAGAATGAAATTGGTAGAACCAGAAACGACCACAAAAGCTAAAAGCTGAATTAGTATCCGTGATCTCTGCTTTTATAAGTGCACATAATTGGGCCATTTTGTAGGAGCTAAATCACCTCTTCTGAGCCATTCACACCACTATTTTCAGACACACTTTTTGCTAACAATCTTTAGGCTTTTAATATCGGTGGATTCTCATGACAGCTCCAGGCTGCTCTTACTGCTTGAGTGCCCTGATCTAAATGTACAGAGAAACACAAATGAAAACCTCTGCTTGCTAACTAATGAATCCCGATAACAGTCTTTTAGCAGGCAGCAGGGCGTAAATATCCCTCAGCAGTCATGTATACAATAGCCTATCAGCATGCGCCCTTTCCATGAGATTCCTTCAGATTGGCCAGATCTGTGAGGTATGTAAATGAGGCGTGACTAAAGGTGACACCGGCCTGGACAATGCATTGACATTTCCCTGCCATTTAGCATGAGCGAAAGCATTTATCTCCTTTAGTGAGGCTCTTTTACTCCTGTCGCGTGAAACATGAATCGAGTGAGAAGATACATGTCACGAAAAAGAGCTTACTCACCTATTCAGTTTATCACTTATTTGTTCACTAACTCGCTCATTCATTCAAAATATCACTGTTTCACTTATTCAATATATAACTAACTCTTTCATTTAGTTGTTTGTCACTGACTATTCATTTTATCAATTCACATACTCAGTGTATCACTCACTTGCTCAGTGCAACACACCGACTCTTTTGATTTGTTCATGCATTTAATCATTTATTCACTAACTTGCACATTCATTAAAAGTATCACTGTTTCACTTACTAAATGTATAACTCCCATTTACTCAGTTGCTCGCTCACTTGATTGATTCATATAGTGATTCACTTGCATCACTATCACTCACTAAGTGTAACAGATTCAATGATTGATTGATTGATTGATTCATTCATTCATCCATTCACTATCTTGCTCATTTGTTCACTGTACTGTATCTCATTCACCAACTCACTTACCTTACTCACTTACTTAGTGATTCACTTAGTGTATCACCATCGCTAACTCAGTGTAACACACAGAATCATTGATTCAATCATTCATTCAGTAAATTTATCACTTTTTCACTTACCCGATATATAACAGTAATTCACTTACCTGCTTTATTTATTTGGTGATTCACTTACTCAATATATCACTATCCCTCACTCAGTGTAACACACTGAATCACTGATTCAATTATTTATTAATTCACTACATTGTTCCTTCAATGTATCAATTCTTTAATTGACTTTGGTGTACAATTTCACTCATTCAGTTGTTTGCTCAGTGATTTATTTAATAATTCACTTACTCATTGTATCACTCACTCAATGTAACATTCGGAATCATTGATTCAATCAACGTTTATTCAATGTATCACTCTTTTTCTCAATGTATAATTCGCATTCACTCATTCAGTTGCTCTTTCACAGACTGATTTATTTAGTGATTCACTTATCGTTACACTGATTTAATTGATTTAATCATTGGTTCATACAATCACTCACTCATTCATTCATTCATTCATTCACTAAGTCGCTCGTTCGTTCAATGTATCACTCATTAAATCAATAAACAACTCATTCACTGATTCACTTGCTCATTCACTGACTGATTCATTTTACTCAATGTATCACTATCATTCCCTTAATATAACACTGAATCATTGATTGATTCACTCACTCGTTCATTCATTCAAACATTAATTGGTTCATTCACTCATTTGCTCACTTATTCAGTTTCCAACATGACACACAGATAAATGCAGCCAGGTGTTGAAAAATGTCTGGGTTCCCTCAGAGCAGTAATCATCTTATGGATCCAGTGCGGCGTGCTGCTATCTGAGAGTGTGCTGATGGCAAAGGGTCGCATCTCCAGAGCACAGTCGGCCACAGACAAAAAGCATTAAAGGGAAGTAGGGAGAAAAGGGGTATTTAGTGCAGGTCAATACTCAATACAAAACGGTTTGTGTGAATCTTGTCCCAAAAAGGTCCATCCAGCCTTTGTAACCAGCATCATTATTTGTTATTATTATTATTTTCTGACAATTGATTATTCTCTCACCTTGGTTTCAAAGCGAAAATCATTTTCAACACTAGTTCTCGATGCTTCTGTTTTCTGCTTCCCCTCAGTATTTATGTGTTGTTCTGTGTCAGCTGTTCTGTGAGAGATGCTAGTTAAAAACCCTCGTCTGTTGTTTTCTTCTCCTTTTCATCTTCTCCTTTTTATGTTGCTCCATTCTTTTGATCTTTATTGTGTGATTTTTCTTGTTTGAGTTGGAGTTAATTGAAACTATGACTTGCAAATAACAAACTACTACTAATTAAAAGTAGTTAAGCTACAAGATTCCCTTTTGATTGTAGCTAGCAACTCTAAAAGCCAATACACTAACTGCTTTGTTACTTAAAAGGTAATACTATTTTATTTTACTATCAAGTTACTTACAAAACTCGAAAGATAAAGTGGTATTTATAGGCCTATGTCTTACACAATCAGGATCTACAAAACCTTTTTTTTTCTGACAACTAAACAATTGAAAACAGTAATAACAGCAGTATTTAGGCATGGATGAACATGGAGTCGGCCAAAAAATTGTTTATGAAAAAAAAACTTTTATGCTCACCAAGGTTGCATTTATTGAATTAAAAATACAATGAAAACAGTAATAATGTGAAATAATATTACCAGTTAAAATTTCCATTTTCTGTCTCAGTATATTTTAAAATGTAATTTATTCCTGTGATGACAAAGCTGAATTTTCAGCATCCATTTCTCCAGGCTTCAGTCTCACATGATTCTTCAGAAATCATTCTAATATAAACATATCATGCCTTACTGTTACTTTTGATCAATTTAATGCATCCTCATTGGAACAACAGTATTAATTTCTTTAAAAAAATTTTTTTGAATGGTAGTGGAGTTAAGTTAGTAGCGTTTGTATGGCTCTTTTTCTTTTCACAGAGCCATTTTGTTACTTCAAGTTAGTGTGAATTGCCAACCACAGCCCATTTTACTTACGTAATGGGCTTGACTTGATTTTAATCATTGTGAAAAGAAGGCGATATAAACCAGAATGAAACAAAACTCGAAAAAGGATTGCTAAAACAATGCCTAAATGCCTATTTGGACGTCAGCGGAAAAGAGAAGTCATTTCAGAGAAGGAGAAAGTCATTCCATTTTGATTTAAAATTAAAAAGAGACATTTTCTTCATTGCAATAACATGCACCACTGAAATTGCTCAAAATAAGACTACAAGGATGCATATAGAAAGCAAACAGGTTCAATTTTAATTTAATTTTAACTTGCGTATCCTGTGGTTCCTTTATCCTTACTTATCCCTTCTCTCTCCCTCTCTTCCAGCACTGAAAGACGACCGTTTTCAGATGGTTCTTTTCACGCCGCGCCTGGTGCGGATCACGTTGACTAATGTAAGTGTATCTGACGAGGGTGGCTTCTTCTGCCAGCTCTACACCGATGACACACACCACCAAGTGGCTACGCTGTCGGTGGTGGTGCCCCCAGAGGTGCCTATGGTGGAGGTGAAGACAGAGGCAGTGGAGGGTGGAGAGGTGGAACTCACATGTGTGTCCCCGCGGAGCAAACCACCAGCCACCCTGCGCTGGGTCCGAGATCGCCGAGAAATCGCAGGTGAGTTTAATTTAAATGTCACAATTATTGTAATTTCACATTCAGTGCAGCCACATTTATATACGATGCATGCACTTACAAATATGAAAGACACATAAGCACATATACAAACACAAAAGTGTCAGCTTTTCTTAAAAATCCTTCACATGTGTGCATATTTGCTTTGTCTCTTTGTCAGACTCTTCATGGTAAATGTCATGCATTTCGACTAATCTCTCTGACAGCCAGGAAGATACGCTTTGCTCCTCTCCCCCATGTGTTTGCTCATTGGCACATTTTCCCCTCTATTGCTTTGTCACTCTATCGAATTTCAAATGCGTCTGTCCATCTGGGTCCCTTTGGATGTGTGCAGAAGAACGTTTTTTTGTCACATACACTCCCACACACACAGAACTGGATCCAGGTGCGGCCCCAATCTGTGCCTTTTTTTTTTTTTCGGTTAACTTTACCTCTCATTTTCCTGCTTTCTCGCCGCTCTTTTTCTCACTGCCATCATATTTTCTCTATCTTTTTGTTTCAGCTTTTCTTTTTTGGGCTCCAAGAAGGGAAAAAACATGGAGAAAGAAAATAACAAAGACACAGAGACAGGAAAAAAAAGAGGCAGGAAAGTGCAGGGTGAGATTGTAGGCTTGGCACTCTATCAATGATGGCACTCTACAAAGTCGTGAGCGCAAGTGTCTGTCTGTCTGCGACAGATTCAGTACAGCGGGGCTCAGTTTGAATTTAGTCTTCTGAGTCTGCCGCTGTTTCGCTTCAGTGAAAATAATTTAAATGTCTGCCTGATCAAGGATATTTAAGCAATATCACACATGTAAGAGTTATATAAGCAAGTTTATGTCAAGTACTGTGTTTAGGACCAAATTTTCTGTTAATTCACCAAGTAGCACACAGGCTGACAGCCGGTCTGGAAAAATGGCACAACTCCAAAATACTGCTCGCATATTCTGGTCTGGAACGCCACTAACACAGACAAGTAGAGTGACACAAACATTAAAACCTGGCCTGTGCTGTAACACCAGTGCTGTATTCATGTCATTGTATTGTTAGATGGTACCTCTGAGATTGGATTATAAGGTTCAGTTTGTTAACATTAGTCGGAACACTTACAGGGACCAATTCTCACTAGTAACTAGTTGCTCATTAGCATGCCTGTTATTAACATATTGGCTGTTTATTAGTACTTATAAAAGCACATATTCTGCATGACCATATTCTAGATCCCTAATCCTACCCAATACCTAAACTTATTAATAAGCAGCAAATTAGGAGTTTGTTGAGGCAAAAGTCATAGCTAATGGTTTGTTAATAGCAAGATTTGGAAAATTAAGTGTGATCACATTAGTTAATTATAGTGCTGTCAAACGATTAATCACGATTAATTGCATTCAAAATAAAAGTTTTTCTTTACACAATATATCTATGTGTACTGTGTATATGTATAAATAAATACACACACATACAGTATATATTTTGAAAATATTTACATGTATATTTATATTCATATAATTTATATTATATATAAATATATTTAATATATAAACGTAACATTTTTCTTAAATATATACATGCATGGGTATGTATTTATATATACATAATAAATATACACATTATGCACACATATACTATGTAAACAAAAACTTTTATTTTGGATGCGATTAATCGCGATTAATCGTTTGACAGCACTAGTTAATTACTAACAATACGGTACTTTTACAGCATTTATAAAAAAAAATGTAAAGGCTTATTTAAATTTTTTTTAAAGGCTGCGTTTATTTGATAAAAAATACAGTAAAACATGTAATATTATTAACTATTATTATTATTTAAAAAAATCTTACTGACCCCAAACTTTAAACAGTAGTGTACACTTTTAAAGGGATAGGTCACCCAAAAATGAAAATTCTGTTATTAATTACTCACCCTCATGATGTTCCAAACCTTCGTTCATCTTCGGAACATGAATTAAGATGTTTTTGATGCATTCCGGCTCTCTGACCCTCCCATAGACAGCAATAATCCCAACATGATCAAGGCTCAGAAACAGGCATGGCGCCAGAATTTTTTCTCTACCGGTGCTAAGGGGGGGCTAGACCAATATGTGGGGGTGCTAAGAAATAAATGATATTGATGACGTCAGAGTTACTTCATAAAGAAATGGGGCTAAACCGGGGCTATTAAAAATTCTGATGGAGCTATAGCCCCCCTAGCCCCGGTGTAGCGCTGTCACTGCTCAGAAACGTAGCAAGGACATTGTCAAAATAATACATTTGACATCAGTGGTTCAACTGTAATGCTATAAAGCTACGAGAGTACTTTTGTGGGCAAAGAAAACAAAAATAACGACTTTATTCAACAATTCATCTCCTCTGCGTCACCCTATGGCGCCATTTTGGAGAGTATCACATACGTAAATAACATATGTACGCGGATACGTTGTTTATGTTCAGATCAAAGTGTAAATAACATAAACAACGTATTGTTTACTTAAGGATCCTTGCTGTCTATGGGAGAGTCAGCTCTCGAAATACATCAAAAATATCTTAATTTGTGTTCCGAAGATGAATGAAGGTCTTACGGGTTTGGAACGACATTAGGGTGAGTAATTAATGACAGAATTTTGTATGTTGAAACATGTATGTTGCAATAAACAATGCTTTATTTTTTAAATATCATCAAACTAAATATTGCTTAATCATGAATAATGATCAAACATTATTTACCAATAAACTATTCTAGGTTTATAAATTAATATTAATCTAGATGCATGTTGTGAAAGCCTGCTGCAGTGGTTATGCATCACCCTGGTTTCCCTGACAAAAACCCAGTAAGATTTTTCAATTGACTTTTGGATTATTGCAGAAAATAAACTATGTGACGAACAAAAGTTTATGATTCATACATTTATATATAATTTATAATTTATCATCACGACAACTTTTATGAATTTTAAAGCCTAAATACAATCGCCAAAATGTACGTAGGCTATAAACGATATAAAACGGCTATACATTTTGCCACCTGTTAGCACCTGCCTTTTTCAAGACAAGTAAAAGCTATAAAAAAACCACAAGTAGATATTACTGGTGTATTTTATGTTGTAGAATAAAATGTGAAAATACCTTGAGCTCACGTTACTGTCACGGTCGGTGGTAGTGTGAGGAGCACGGAACTAGGAGACCATGAGTACGAAACAAAGGGATTTATTCTTGTCACAGGGAAATCACACGTAGCACGAGGAGAAGACTTCAACATACAATTCCAGACAAGGGAGAACTGAATGGGCTAGAACTAAATAGATAACGAGGGGCAGACAGGTGATGGGGATAACTAATAACAAGAAACAGGTGATACTAATAATGTGAAAAGGAACTGGAAGGACCAAATAAGGAAAACAGGAACTCAACGAGAACATACACGTGACAGATCGCCCCCCTCCCAGACGGCGGACGCCCTGGAGACTGGTGCAGGACTGGAACTGGGCCGAGACAAGGAGAGCCTCCAGGGTGGATCAGGAAGCCATGGCGGAGCAGGCAGTTTGGGTTGCAATGGCGGAGCCGGGGGCTCGGGAGGCCATGGCGGATCAGGGGGCTCGGGAGGTCATGGCGGAGCCGGAGGCTCGGGAGGCCATGGCAGATCAGGGGGCTCGGGAGGCCATGGCGGAGCCGGGGACTCGGGAACCCTCCATGGGCTATACTCGGGATCCGGAGCCCTCCCTGGGCTTAACGGGGAAACAGGAGCCCTCCCTGGGCTTAACGGGAAATCAGGAGCCCTTCCTGGGCTTAACGGAGAATCAGGAGCCCTCCATGGGCTACACTCGGGAACAGGAGCCCTTCCTGGGCTGAACTGGGGATCCGGAGCCCTCCGTGGGCTATACTCGGGAACAGGAGCCCTTCCTGGGCTGAACTGGGGATCCGGAGCCCTCCGTGGGCTATACTCGGGAACAGGAGCCCTTCCTGGGCTGAACTGGGGATCAGGATAGCGCTGCCGTGGTGTTGGCACTGGAGGGTGCTCTGGAGGAGCAGGCACAGCAAAGCGCTTTCGAGGAGCCGGCACCGGGGGACGGCTCTGGAAGGCGCTTACGAGGAGCGGGCACTGGGGCCGGAACTGACACTGGGCCCACATTAACGTCTGGCGGGCTTGCCACATTAACATGCGGTGGGCTTGCCTGAGGAACGGCCGGCTTACTTGATTCGGGAACGGCCGGTAGATGGGTCCCGGATCGGGATCGGAAGCTCTCCAGACACCGGATGTCTCCCTCCTTCCAGCCGAGGTTGGTGGTGTCTGGGAGCTCCACGGGACGATGGTAGGTTATCCTGATCCGGAACAGCGGCAGGAGGGTTTCTCCCTCGAGGGAGCTGGCGAGGGTGAGCGGCACGAACGCCTTCGTGTAGAGAATCGGGTCGGGGTTCACCTGAGTCACGGCGATTATCATCGCTCGTTCCTCCATTTGGACGGGGAGAAACGAACGGGAAAACAAAACAAAAACACTTTTCAAAAAACGAAAAACAAACACGGGTAGAAGGGGTGCCGCTTATTGTCACTTTGGGGTCTGGAATTCTGTCACGGTCGGTGGTAGTGTGAGGAGCGCGGAACTAGGAGACCAGGAGTACGAAACAAAGGGATTTATTCTTGTCACAGGGAATCACACGTAGCACGACGAGCAGACATCAACATACAATTCCAGACGAGGGAGAACTGAACGGGCTAGAACTAAATAGGGTAGATGAGGAGGGGCAGACAGGTGATGGTGATAACTAATAACAAGGAACAGGTGATACTAATAATGTGAAAAGGAACTGGAAGGACCAAATAAGGAAAACAGGAACTCAACGGGAACATACACATGACAGTTACAGACCTATTTTAGGCATTTAACCTAAAACCCATTAACCCCATTGACTTTGTTATGATGGAACTGGAAATGCGAAACTCTTTTCCAGATTTTTGCCTCCATAAATGTTATCCCCATGTTTTTTTTTAGTTCATGATACCTAATATACTAACTACAGTTAATAAATGAGTCGGTAACACTTTAAATTAGGGAACACATATTACCTCCATATTTTCCCTCAATAAACTCCTAATTTGCTGCTCATTAATAGTTAGTAAGTTTATGCATCGGGTCGGATTAAGGGTTCTAGAATGCGGTCATGCAGAATAATGCATTAATATGTGCCTAATAAACAGCCAATATTCTAGTAATACGCATGCTAATAAGCTACTAGTTAATAGTGAGAACTGGCCTTTAAAATAAAGTGTTACCAATGAGTCTTATTGTACATTGTTGTTTTAGAATCTTCTCTTAGCTGTTCACGTCTTGAAGAAACATGAGAGCTGTCCAAGAGCTGTTCGTGACTCAGAAATGATTTGTTTCTATGGCAAAGCTCATAACACCAGAAAGGATCGGTTTGTGGCTTTGTTGTCGGTCACAGCAGAATATGCTCCTTCAAAACAAAACACTTTGTATATGAGTATAAAATTACATATCAAACAGAAAAATGTATTGATTTGTTTTAAGCCACTGCCATTTTGGTTGTTTTTATATGAAGTCGCAATGGGCAAGTGATTGGTGCTTTCTGTAAAATACAAGTTTGACAAAGACCGAAGAATAGTTTTACAAGTTAGAAACCCATAATCTTCATAAATCTGCTAACTCTGTTCGACCTCACGCTCTATCGACCTACACTTCCCTCTGTCTGTTTCATCACCCCATTACTGCCCTTCACTCGCCCCTTGTCATTTCATTTTTCATCATCAAATTAAAACTTAATAGTCTCAGAAGGATAATAGAGCCTGCTCTGTGGTTGTGAAATCGATGTGTGTAAGGTGCATTGCTCAGCGCATCAGATTCATACTGTTTGAAGTAATCAGGGCGAGCGCGCAATCCTTTGTACGAAAGATTTGCAAATAATGTCTGGCTGAAATGTGAACACACTGTTAAAAATTTGAGCGAACTGACTTGTTCCTCTCTTTTCGTTCAGGTGTGATCTCTCAGCAGGAGAACGGCAAGACTGTGAGTGTTTCCAACACTATCCGTATCCCCGTGGAGAGGAAAGATAACGGAGCGGCGCTGAGCTGTGAGGCGTCTCACCCGGCACTCGTGGGGCAGAAACGAGTTCGTCACTACAGCCTAGATGTTCACTGTGAGCCAACAATGCCATCACGTTTCTATGACTACCGCCATATTAGACTGATTAACGGTTGTTATTAGCTCTCTGAAGCCCCATCTGTTTAAACATGTTCACTTGGCAAGCCTCTAACAAGGTTTGTTTGTTTGTGTTACATCTTGCCTGGTATGATAAAGGACGAGAAGACAACAGTATCCCATTACACATCACACCACAGTATTAACAGAAACACTTGAGATGTGATACTGTGGAAGGATTTCAACCAATAAAAATATCTAATATTAACTTTACACAAGGACTTCTCTCATAAAGTTGCTGTAAAAATTGGAAGGGCTTTACTCTATAAAAAGACAATCGAGTTCAAATAAAATTTAGTGTATTGCTGTTTTTACCCACAGCTAGTTTAAATCAGACACCTGCTAAAAATGAGTTGAAGCACTTGTTCTATTATAAAACCTGGTGAGCTGCAGCTGTAGGCAGCATTTTAAGAGCATTTTTATGCAAAATTATTATTATAAATAGTTCATTCAATACACAACCATTCAAAAGTTTGACGTTGGGAAGCTTTATTTTTAAGTTTTTGAAAGAAGCATAAGCCTCACCCAGGCTGTATTTATTTGGTCAAAAATACAATAAAACAGTAATAATGTAAAATATTATTACAATTTAAAATGTTAATTTTTTTACAAACCCGATTCCAAAAAAGTTGGGACACTACAAATTGTGAATAAAAACAGAATGCAATGATGTGGAAGTTTCAAATTTCAATATTTTATTCAGAATACAACATAGATGACATATCAAATGTTTAAACTGAGAAAATTTATCATTTTAAGGGAAAAATAAGTTGATTTTAAATTTCATGGCATCAACACATCTCAAAAAAGTTGGGACAAGGCCATGTTTACCACTGTGTGGCATCCCCTCTTCTTTTTATAACAGTCTGCAAACGTCTGGGGACTGAGGAGACAAGTTGCTCAAGTTTAAGAATAGGAATGTTGTCCCATTCTTGTCTAATACAAGCTTCTAGTTGCTCAACTGTCTTAGGTCTTCTTTATCGCATCTTCCTCTTTATGATGCGCCAAATGTTTTCTATGGGTGAAAGATCTGGACTGCAGGCTGGCCATTTCAGTACCCAGATCCTTCTCTTTCAACATTTGATATGTTATCTATATTCTATGGTGAATAAAATATAAGTTTATGAGATTTGTAAATTATTCCATTCCTTTTTTACTCACAATTTGTACAGTGTCCCAACTTTTTTGGAATTGGGTTTGTATATATTTACTATTGCAATGGACCCACTTTATATTAACTGTCTTTAACTACAGTTTACTTAATTTTGAAATAACCATTTGATACGTTTATTGTGTACATAAATGTTTTTTTCATTGTACGGTACTTATATTTAAAAGTGTCACCTGTAATTACATCTGTAATTAATTTCTGTTGTTACATCTGTAATTACTCTACCCCTATACCTTAACCCACACATAAACCTAACCATAGCACCAGATCTTTCCCTAAACTCCATATCCCACATGAGTACCAGCAAAAGTGATCTATTTAAATGATTATTTTATTGAAATAAAACGTTCAAAATGTATTTCATTTTAAAATTTCTGTCACTTACTGTAATTTTTGATCAATTTAATGCATCCTTTCTGAATAAATATATTATTTTCTTACAAAGAAATAAAAATTTACTTACAGTAGCCCAAGCCTTTGAATGATAAAAATGTATAAAATAAATAATATAAAAATATAAATACATATAAAAATGGTCTAAAATAATAAATAGATCATGATTAAATTTATAATATTTTAAAAAATAAGTGTTCAGACAATTAAGTGTTTAAGAAAAAAATATTGTGCTCGTATGTGTGTTTATTTTTTATAATTATTATAATGTTATAATTATTATAATGTCATTTGCACTGGCTGTATTAAAATCACCTGTGAGTCCAGAGCAACATTCAGTTATGCATTCAAGTATTTGTTCCAAAGCAATAATTTCCATTTTAGTCTGGATACTGCATTTGAAGACAGTATGTGTTCACTAGACTTTGTGACAGAGCTCTTTACCTGTTTTATTCCCTCTCTCTATCCTTCTCTTATTTATCCTTATCTCTGCAGTTGCTCCTACGGTGAAAATCATTCCCCCTCAGGGCATCCTCCGAGAGGGAGACTCCCTCAGTCTCACCTGCTCCGTTACCGGCAACCCACTGTGAGTGTACATGAGCATGTGTGTTTTTCTTTGGAAATGTATCTGTCAGGTTGCGTGTGGGAGATTTTGATGGATGTGAAAGCGCGTGTGAAGTTCTGTTTCTACATGTGCTTTAAAAACGAATTATCTGAACTGGTCCCACAAGAACAGCTTTCATCTTCTAACACTCTAAAATGCTTAAAGAGGATCATCTCAATCCAGCTCCAATAAAGTATAACTGCTCAGAACAAAGATGATCTCTTCTCCTACAAGAGGGAGAAGAGCCTTGATTCCGTCCTCTGTTCCTCCTCCCATCTCTGTCTCTCTCTCATTACTTCACCTTCAATTTCAATTTCAAAGTACACAGTAAAAGCAGTGACTGGAAAACTAAAATAAAAATGTATTGTATAATCATTATTTTCCAACAATTACTGCCACCTTTATTTATTTATAAAAAATAAAAAATAAGTGTTTTAATAAATATAAGTAGCAGTCAAGACTGAAGTCATAAAACAGTATACAATAAAATTAAATGGAATAAAATAATGTTATAGTGTATTATTAGTTTTATTACAAGTAATGCCATTTTTTATTTATTTATAAAATAACACTATATAATAAAATAAAACAAGAAAAAATAAATTATTGTACATTATAATTTGTATTACACTTGCAACCTTTATTTATTCATAAATAATATAAAATAGAAATAGAACAGAAATAGAGACAAAGAAAAAAGAAAATAGAATAGAAGTAGCAGTAAAGACTGAAGTCATAATACGAAATGTTGTAGTGTATTGTTAGTTTTATTACAGTTAATGCCATTATTTATTTATTTATTTATAAAATAACATCATATAAAAATTTTGTTTTAATTAAAAAAATTATGTGGCAACACCTGTGGTCATAGTTGTAATAAAAATTATAACAGTATGCAATAAAATAAAATCAAAGAGGATAAAACGAACAATTTAAAAAATATATATTATTGCTATATTGTTTTTCTAACAATTTTGATACATTGGAATGAAGCTTCAGAGTTTTTCAGGGACATTTCTCTTTTTCCACACTAAACGTCTTATATTGAAGGAGAAAGTGTCCCACTGTCATCCTCCCCAATGTCACAGTGAGCACAGACGCTTTCTTCCTTCAGAAGGCATGTTTGTCTCAGTCTGTCTTTTTTCTGCGGCTCGCCCGTGGTCACTGAGCCTCTTCTCCTTAAGAGCCTGTGAGCAGAAAGCCATTAAACCTCTCCAGAGCCTCGTAAGGGACCGCTACAGAAATGAAAGATGGAGAGATGGAGAGGACGCTTGAGCTGCCACTCATTTTGCACTGAAATGGGGAAATGACAGAGTGAGGGAAGGAAAGAAAGAAAGGTGGGCTCAGAGGAGTTTTAGCTATGAAAGAGAAATGAAAGGCTACGTGATTTATGCGGTAGGGAGAAAGAGAGTGTGAAACGTGTAAATGTTTAATTGTAGGGGCATGTTTGAAGATTACAGAATGCGGTGATGAGAAATGAGAATAGACTGCCCACCCAGAGAGAGACCGCTCTCTGGATAGGTTGAGATAAATGAGTGTATTGATGGGAGGAATGAGAGATGGATCCAGATGCCGCTCTACGGTAACTGAACTCACAGTACACTGCGTCGTGCTGCTTGGTTATAAAGCCATTACCATCATGTTCGTCCGACATTAATCACCAATTAAACACAATCTGCGTTTGTTGGAGGGGTGTGTTTATTATTCCTCAGCACTCTGGCTGGCTCATCCTCGGTGTTTGTGCTCGTGTGTGTGTGTGTGGTACTGTATGCCAAATCCTGTGAGGGCTGTAATTAAACGTGTCCTGTGGGATTACGGTGGGTGATGACGTAGACTTGTCTTCTAGCCAGGGTGGATGAGGGATGAGGCGTTTCACAGGCAGTGGGCTCAGAACTGAAGCCTCAGGCTTTTTGCCCTACAGTTTCCATGTATCTCCTGCTGCTGTGGATCACCTCGCAGCTGTTTGTATATGTGTGTGTGTGTGTGTGTTAGGTAATCTCCTCCTTTCATGCTCTTTTGTCTCTGTCTGGCTGGTATTATCTGCTAGGACTATCCTCTCTTCTCTACTTATCACTTCTTTGAAAAATATCATGTAAAGGTATATAAAAGATCTATTTTTCAGTTTAAAATATTCAGATGTTCTTAAAATGATATAAATGCAATCATGAGTAGATTACTGCTTTTATAAATCCAAGACAGTAATGTTCAGTAAAAATAATACTAAATTGTATTATATTTTAAATAAATAAAAATTAACAAATGGGCAAAACCTAGTGTTTCTAGGATTTAAGATTCTAAAATTACAGTTAATTAGTTCTTGAGGGCTGCACTGTGATCCTTAAATAGAATCTTTTAATGTCATAAAATGGTTCTGGTTCTAAATATGCCTGACAAGCTTTTTGGTATGTGAACTTTTTTAAACACTTAATTACATTGTAGTTGGTGTCAAAATTAGGGCTGCAACAACTAATCGATAAAATCGATTATTATCTATTATGAAAATTATCGACAACGATTCTCATTATCGATTAATCGGGTCTGCCCACAGTGCACGTCCAACGGAGTTTACATAGGCTACTTGTCCAACTTCAGCCGGTCGCGTCAAATTAAAGCACTGAATTACATATTTCTATGGACAAAATGCATCTAAAATAGTGGAGGACACAGAATGAGATGCTGCAGGAGAGTTACGTAATCCAAGCTGCCCAAAACATGATAATTCTTTATTTTAAGCTTTAAGCTAATGCATAGTGTAATGCCTTGCCCTGTCAGGCACTTTAACAGATGCGTGTGCGTCCTCAGCGCAAAAACACTTTCAGTTAACGGTCATAATAACCTTATGCATAAATGTCACAAATTCACGCGAGCATTTCCATTTTTGCATAAAGGTCCGTCCTGACAGTCTGTGTTAAATTTTAATCTTTACTGAATGAGCGCCATCGCGGCGGACAGAGTTTGTGATTTTATTCGTCTTTATCATCTTTATTATTATTAAAATTTTTAATGCAGAGATTTAAACTATATTCACTATATACAATGCTGAACAAATTTATTGAAGGGGTCATATGATGCGATTTCAAGTTGTCCTTTCTCTTTGGAGTGTTACAAGCTGATTGTGCATAGATAAGATCCCTGAAGTTGCAAAGACTAAAGTCTCAAAACCAAAGAGATATTCTTTATCAAAGTTAAGACTCTGCCACGCCCCCCTAAAACGGCTCGTTCTAACACGCCCCCACATATCTACCTCACTATGTGGAAATATTAGCATAATGCCGCTCAAATGTGCACGCAAAGAAAGAAGGTGTGGTTTCAGTAACCACAGTTAGTGTTGAAGCAGCAATGTCAGGGAGTCGCTGTGTGTTTCTAGGCAAACGCAAAAGCACTTTATTTGGCCTTCCGAAAGTAGATGCATTTAGGAATTTTTAAGATTACTTACAACAGAACAGCAATGCATTTTATAGACAACCGTTTCGTGAACCTAGGAGAGGAGGTAATTCTGACTTTGCTATGACAATCTGGCGCTTCTGAATCAGCTATTGACTGTTCAAATGCGGAGTTTTGTGCATTGTGTGTGTGTGTGTGCGAGAGAGCGAGAGAGAGAGAGAGAGACAAAGTCACATCACAGTAGAGTCAGCTGTCTTAACCGCGGCTTGTGTACGAGCCTCGTAAGGGACCGCTACAGAAATGAAAGATGGAGAGATGGAGAGGACGCTTGAGCTGCCACTCATTTTGCACTGAAATGGGGAAATGACAGAGTGAGGGAAGGAAAGAAAGAAAGGTGGGCTCAGAGGAGTTTTAGCTATGAAAGAGAAATGAAAGGCTACGTGATTTATGCGGTAGGGAGAAAGAGAGTGTGAAACGTGTAAATGTTTAATTGTAGGGGCATGTTTGAAGATTACAGAATGCGGTGATGAGAAATGAGAATAGACTGCCCACCCAGAGAGAGACCGCTCTCTGGATAGGTTGAGATAAATGAGTGTATTGATGGGAGGAATGAGAGATGGATCCAGATGCCGCTCTACGGTAACTGAACTCACAGTACACTGCGTCGTGCTGCTTGGTTATAAAGCCATTACCATCATGTTCGTCCGACATTAATCACCAATTAAACACAATCTGCGTTTGTTGGAGGGGTGTGTTTATTATTCCTCAGCACTCTGGCTGGCTCATCCTCGGTGTTTGTGCTCGTGTGTGTGTGTGTGGTACTGTATGCCAAATCCTGTGAGGGCTGTAATTAAACGTGTCCTGTGGGATTACGGTGGGTGATGACGTAGACTTGTCTTCTAGCCAGGGTGGATGAGGGATGAGGCGTTTCACAGGCAGTGGGCTCAGAACTGAAGCCTCAGGCTTTTTGCCCTACAGTTTCCATGTATCTCCTGCTGCTGTGGATCACCTCGCAGCTGTTTGTATATGTGTGTGTGTGTGTGTGTTAGGTAATCTCCTCCTTTCATGCTCTTTTGTCTCTGTCTGGCTGGTATTATCTGCTAGGACTATCCTCTCTTCTCTACTTATCACTTCTTTGAAAAATATCATGTAAAGGTATATAAAAGATCTATTTTTCAGTTTAAAATATTCAGATGTTCTTAAAATGATATAAATGCAATCATGAGTAGATTACTGCTTTTATAAATCCAAGACAGTAATGTTCAGTAAAAATAATACTAAATTGTATTATATTTTAAATAAATAAAAATTAACAAATGGGCAAAACCTAGTGTTTCTAGGATTTAAGATTCTAAAATTACAGTTAATTAGTTCTTGAGGGCTGCACTGTGATCCTTAAATAGAATCTTTTAATGTCATAAAATGGTTCTGGTTCTAAATATGCCTGACAAGCTTTTTGGTATGTGAACTTTTTTAAACACTTAATTACATTGTAGTTGGTGTCAAAATTAGGGCTGCAACAACTAATCGATAAAATCGATTATTATCTATTATGAAAATTATCGACAACGATTCTCATTATCGATTAATCGGGTCTGCCCACAGTGCACGTCCAACGGAGTTTACATAGGCTACTTGTCCAACTTCAGCCGGTCGCGTCAAATTAAAGCACTGAATTACATATTTCTATGGACAAAATGCATCTAAAATAGTGGAGGACACAGAATGAGATGCTGCAGGAGAGTTACGTAATCCAAGCTGCCCAAAACATGATAATTCTTTATTTTAAGCTTTAAGCTAATGCATAGTGTAATGCCTTGCCCTGTCAGGCACTTTAACAGATGCGTGTGCGTCCTCAGCGCAAAAACACTTTCAGTTAACGGTCATAATAACCTTATGCATAAATGTCACAAATTCACGCGAGCATTTCCATTTTTGCATAAAGGTCCGTCCTGACAGTCTGTGTTAAATTTTAATCTTTACTGAATGAGCGCCATCGCGGCGGACAGAGTTTGTGATTTTATTCGTCTTTATCATCTTTATTATTATTAAAATTTTTAATGCAGAGATTTAAACTATATTCACTATATACAATGCTTAACAAATGTATTAAAACAAATTTATGTAAGGTTTTTAACAAATTATGGTTTGTGCCAATGCTGCTCTAAACTAACAGTACTGGTGATTACCAAAATCATTTTTTAGCTTTCTGTATGGGTTCCAATATGCATAAGCTCTTTAGTAACAGTAGTAGGCTGTTTCTAATGCTATAATATAATTATTGCTGTTATCTATGAAAGAAAGGCAGAGAGCTTTATAGTGTTTTATTTTTTCAGATACCCAATTACAGTCAAAAAGTACTTAAACAATGCCAGCAAGAATGCAAGCTATGAAGGGCATAGGAGGCCATTTTTGTTATGTGAATAAATAAAAGTATTTAGTTATAAATAAATGACATAAAAAATTATTTGATTTAAACAATTTTTTGACAGATTCCTAAAATGTGTTTTCTCTTTATTATGGCAGGGGGTCTAATAAATTGTTAAGCACTGTATGTTTTCATAGCATTCAGTTGGAACGTTTGTTATAAGGACATTGGGCAGAATGTGGAATAGTGTGGAATTTTAACAAAATAAAAAAAGAAAATGGTTTGTTTTTAATCCGATTAATTGAAAAAATAATCAACCAACTAATCGATTATCAAAATAATCGTTAGTTGCAGCCCTAGTCTAAATCATGGTAAAAATGTATGATAGTCATAATTTTTTGATCAAAAAAAATTAGCACAGGACAATGTATGCATCTGTGTGTTTGTCCACAAACAAAACAAATAATGGCTGTATGAGTGAGTCAGTGAATCATTCTTTCAACTGATTCATTCCAAAACACTCAACCATTTAGAAAAGAAACAAGTGGATGTCTGAGTCCAAAACTGCATACTTTGAGTAGGTACACAAAGTAAAGTAATTACTTTGCAACCATTAAAAAGTACATTGTTTTAATGTGTGTAGTATAAATGTAATCCGGATGTACCATATTCATCATGTTGTCATTGTCATGTGACCCAATATTGTCAGTTGTGTCCTTCACTGCCATTCACAAATCTTCTCTATGAGAATGGGTTAGTAATGTGTCCATTAGATGCATACTTCAGAAGCTCAAAAGAGATTAAAAAAATTCAGTGGGGTGTGTGTATATATATATATATAATAAACAATAAATAATTAATTTAACATGCTCTCTGAAAACAAATCCTATCTTACACAAATAATGCTCATTTAAAATAACTTATTTGTTTTAAGGCTGTTTAATTTTTTTACCAGACAAAAATACTGATTAAGAAATGTTATTTCTCCCCCAAATCCTTTTATGTCTTTTTCATCTTTTTTGTATGATCTGATTTCTATTCTCTTTCGTCCCTTGTGTCTCATTATTTGGAGAAGATTTGTTTTTCAAGCATTTCTTTTAATGCGTTGTTCCTTCTTTGATAAAATATTGATTGCTTCTTTAATATAATGTCTTATTTTGCTGTCTTTTTTTCTAGACCACGTGACATCCAGTGGTCGCGAGTGAACGACACTCTTCCTGAGAGGGCTGAGAAAACGGGCAACATTCTCCTTATGTCTCGCCTCAGCCAATCACACAACGGCACCTACCTCTGTCAGGCGCATAATAATTACGGCCGTGCAGCCGACCACTACACACTGCTGGTGTACGGTAAGAAAACAAGCGTGTCCGGTCACATGACCCCTTCTAAACTACTCAGGACAGTCCCCATTTTTGCATGTCAAAGTATGTAGGCTTTCATTTGAAACCTGTTTTCACAAAACAATTCCATATGTATACGCATGAACACCTACACTTTCTTTTCCGATCGAGAACAGCGTGGGTTCTTTATAGCTACAGAGGTGGTTTACTGTGGCTTTGAATGCGACAAAGTAGTCTTGTTCTCCCACCATGGTGTGTGTTTTTTTTTTTTTTAGTCCTCCCCCTCTCGCCCAGGTCGGTCCCCTGTGGTTGTTCAGGGTACTGCATCTTCCAGCTGTGTCTGTAGACCCGCAGGATGTGTGATGTATTTTGAAAGAGTGCAAGAAATTAGATCCCTAGAGGTCTTCCTCCTTTCTTTCTCTTTTTTCCTCCTCCTTTTTGCATGGTAACGACAGTCATCAAATACGCACCTTAACGAAGCAGCTCGGAGAGCACAGGTGGGTGGGAATGTCATCTTTCATCCCGCTTCTATCCTTCGCTCCCTCTCTCTTCCGCTCCTTCTATCCACGGTTCTTTGTAGGTGAGCCTCTTAGCTTTGAAACACCTCTGCACTTCAGAAAATGTCCCAGGAATCCCTTTCTCTGCCTGTTTATTCTTCCGTCCTTCCCTACTGCATTCTTTCCTCCCTCTTACTTCTTCCTTCTTTTCTTCCTTTATGCATTCCATCTTTCCTTACTTCCTCCTTTCTTCCCCCCTTTATTTGTTCCCTCCTTGCCTCCATTCTTCCTGTTTCTTTTTTCGTTTCCTCCTCCCTTTGTTCCTATTTTATCCAACCTTCCAATTTTCCTTCCTTACATTATTAATTGCTTTGTTCCTGCTTTCATCTTTCCTTCCTTCCTTCCTTCCTTCCTTCCTCATTTCCTTCTATTTTTCCTACCTTTCCTTCCTTCCTTCCTTCTATTTCTATCTATCTTCCCTTTATTCCATTTAACCTTTTCTTTTTTATATCTTTTTTCTTTTCCTTCATTCCTTTCTGTTTTCATCCTTTATCCTCCATTTGTTTCATTTCCATCCATCCTTCCTGTTTATTTTTTCTTCCTTAGTTTCTTCCCTTCTTTTCATCTATCCTTCCAATTTTTCTTTCCTTCCTTACTTTATTAATTGCTTTGTTCCTACTTCCTTCCATCTTTCCTTTTTTCCCCTTTCCTTCTATTTTTCTAACTCTCCTTCTTTCTTCTTGTCCTTACCTTCCATTGTTTTTCTGACCTTCCTTAATTTTTCTTTCTTTCTTTGATCATTTTTTCCTTCATTCCTTTACTCCTTTCTTTGTTTTCATCCTTCATTAATTTCTCATTTCCTTCCTTAGGTTTAATACTTGCTTTGTACCACCCCATCTTTTCCCCTTTTTATCCCTCTTCCTTCCTTTCTTCCTTCCTTTTTCTTTCTTTCGTTGCTCTTCTACACAGAACACAGACCTTCCAATTTAATGTGTTTGTGTGGGAGTAAATGAACAAGATTTGGTGTTAACTCTCAGAGGTATCAGCGTATTTAGGCTTCATCCGCTGGAAATCCCATGCTCACTGCAACTTAAAGAGAGAAATGGCTGACTGCTGAAGGCTGATAGAGGATGAGGGAGAACCATCGAGATGATGAGTCAGCAGTCACAGTGACACGAGAGGGTGGAGGAAGGCTGATCTCTATATCTCGCTGCTTTGCACTGACAAACTTTTTTATCACTGATTTATTTTATGTCTAAAGTGACCATGAAGTGCAAAATGAGGAGCAACCAGCCAATACGAATAGAATGATGATTATAAACTGGAGGATAAAATGAGTCAGGAAAGACAAAATGAATCAGGGTGATACAGATAGGGAAATGAGAAAGGCAAAAGGACAGAGGAGGAGGAAACTTTGTTTTTCAGAAATTTTGCAATTTATGCTGACTGATATCCAAGTGTGTATTTACCACATGGCTCAACAGGTACGCCTGTCTGTGCTGCGTTATCTTTGTCTGTCTGGAAACTTTTACATTTGCATATATATTCGGTACACACTTTTTTACCAAACCCACAAGAAGCATTTTAATGTGCTACTACTTTTTATATATTTATTTCAATGTATCTGTGTGGGTTCAGGTTTTGCCTACACAAGAACTGCTAAACCTGAAATCACCTACATTGTAGGCAGCAGCCAAAAGTCTCTAAGGAAAATGTCTTAAACATGCTAAATAATGCTTTATTGAAAATACAAAAATGTAAAAGGTGTCTCAGTGCTAGATTGAAGATTAGAAGGTAGAAATCTTCATTAACGCTTTAAATCTCCATTAACTATATTGTATAAAGCAAAGCATATGTGAATATGTGTGTGTGTAGTGTACTCCTCACCTCCACATATGCAGCTTGTCCAGTGGTCAAGCGGTCAAAGGACAGTCCCCTGGAGACATGCTTATGTAAAACAGCAGCAGTACTTACCCATGATGAACCTCACTGCCGATAAAAACCATTACAATCAAACGACCTTAGAGAACCACTGAGATTGAAATGAGTGAAAGGATGGATGGAGAAAGAGATGGAAGGAGAGCCATCGTTGCTCGCAGGAGAGAGAAAAAGATGTAGCACAGTAATGAGCTGTGGCTCTAATTGGAAGAAACAACATGGGCACTTAATTAATGAAGTGAAACTCAGGAAAAGGAGAAGAAAGCATGAGCAAGAGGGGATATAGTAATTGAAAATGTCATATTTTAACTTTGGATAGTCATGACAGGAATATTAAGCGTGGTGAATCGAGGAGTGTGTCGAGTTGACGACAGAGACTTGGCCTTTGAGCTGAGAGGGGAGAGGTGAGAGACTGTGGGATTTACAGACTCCGTATACGGAGGATTAGAACAACTTAAAGATCTGCCACTCTCTCTTTCTTTGGTGCTATAATGTGGCACAAAACCCAGAGTCCCAAAAACGCAGAGAACAACATTGCTGACGTGACTCACCCAGACATCTGTGTGATGAAATGTTTATCAGCTTCCAGCCTGAGCCGTAATGATGTGCAGGAAGCAGGAAAGAAGAAACGCCTTTTAAATGATTGGTTTTGGGAAAAGTGCAGGAAAAACTGAAAAATGTAATGGATGAAAAAGTTGGAGCACTGAAAAGAGAGGAGAAAGGAAAGAGGGACAGGAAATGTAATGAGAAAAAGGATCTGAATGACAGAATAGGGCAAGCAAAACAAAATTTGGTCATTATTTACTTACCCACATGTCATTCCAAACCTGTATGGCTTTCTTTCTTCTGTAGAGCACAAAAGGAAAGATTTTGACTGCCGCTTTTTATGCAATTACAATAAATTGGGACCGAAGCTTTCAAGCTTAAAAAGGATCCAAAAGCCCCATAAAATAACATAAAATCCTCCACATGATTTGTGTGCTATACTCCAAGTCTTCTAATATACTGTTATTATGTGAGAAACAGACCAAACCAGATGAGTTATCCCCAATTTTGTGAATTTTCTTTATTTTTACGTGTTGTGATCATGCGAGAAGCAGCTATTTTGATTTGTGAGTGAATTATTTTTTTATTTGTGTATCCTTTCAGTGAATTGGTTCATAGATATATCAATTAATCCCAATGTAACGTTTGCTTAGTTTCTTACACAAATCAATAGTAAGAAGACTTGGAACTAGTTGTATGCTCAATATTTATGAAACTCATATGGTTCTTTTGTGCCAGTCTTTGTTTATGGTCTGAAGAATGTCTCCATTTATGTTGGATGGGAAGATTTGGAATGACTTAAGCGTGAGTAAATAATGACAGAATTCACATTTTTGGGTCAACCGTCCATTTAAGAGTAATTTTTAAAATAATTATTCCTTCAAAAATAGTTTTTGAGGAAACTGTACCTTTAAATATCTGAACTGTTGGGTTCAAAATATGAGATCTTTTGCTACAGAGAAAGATAAGAGGAATTGAGAGAAGAGGAATGAGAGGGATGATTAGCAGGCCTTCTCTTTCTGAAGAGTCATGGTGGTCTTGGGATATTGATCGGTCTGGTACCAAGCTGTTAATCCCTCGGAATGTTGAAGCCCACACACATACACAACCGAAAACTGTGGTGCTGCTCTTTGTTGCATAAAAAGCTGGTAGACCCATATGCAGATGGAGGAGAGAGTAGCTGCGAGGCTGCAACAGGAGCGAGATGGGGCGAGAAAGAGCGATGAGGCTAGTGCGTATATTAGAGGTGTGGAGGATGGTGAGCAGAGCCGTAAGATTGATGATCTTTGGGACGGAGGGATTGAAGATTACAGTGAGAGAGAGAGCTGAGCCCAGGGTGCACGGTAACTGCAGTATTTTGCAGTGGTGAGAGATGAAAGGGTGGAACAGGAAGATGCTGCACCCTGCTGGCTGGAGATGTTACCCGCAAAGAGACCCTTGACCCCGGCCGAGGGGTGTAATTCATGAACATCATGGTTTATCTCTTGCTCACACACTCATACACTCACTCACACACTGATAGGCCTCATTTTGCATGTGTATTCCCCTGCATGTGCTTGTATGTAGCTGCAGTAGCTCGTAAATAACCCTGTTGTAAATCCATTCCCTTGTAGTGTCTGTCCCTCCCAAATCTCATCCTGCCATCGCTCACCTTCCATCCTCCAGCTTTACAAAGGAATACCAAGGTAACCTTTCTTCCATCACCTCACCTTACCTCATCTCCATTACATTATTCACTTCCCTTTTACCTCCCTTTTTTTCCCCCTGGGGTGCACTTAATGTTAGTTTATTGCACCAAAAATAGTCATACTTTAGTTTTGCATGACTACATTGAAATTTCTTTCTTTCCCTTAGAATAATTCAGGGTGTTTGTGTTATTGTAGCTGTAAGAATTATGTAACCAACCTCTGTTGTGATTGGCTAACCTCTTCATTTGTGGAATGAGTGACAGTTTTATTACAGTGCTTGCACAATGAGCACTGTCTTAATATTTATTTTTCCTCTTCTCATTCTTCTACACAAATTTCT